AAGCTTTATCAACAATTAGAATCTCAAGGTTTCCAAACAGGCTGGAAGCAATGCGGTAGCCTTTGTGTTGCCCGGACTAGAGATCGCATGACTGTTTTTAGAAGAATGAAATCCCAATCTGTGTAATATGATCGATATTTATTTCCAATTAGTTTCATTGTTTTGTAATAAATTATAATTCTGTTTTTACACATACTAGCTCTTGGGGTATTAAATGTGAAATAGTTGATCCTCAAAAGGCAAAAGAACTCTGTCCACTTATTAGGATTGATGACATTAAAGGAGCCTTGTGGATACCTGAAGATGGTGTAGCAGATTCCTACAAGATATGTCTTTCCCTATTAGAAGCTGCAAAACAAAAAGGTACTTGAGAATTGTTTATTTTTAGTAAACCATTTTCTAGATAATGCTGGTTAATGTTCTTAGGAAAAATATTTATTTATTTTTTGACTACATAATTTATATCAAATTTTAAATTAATTGTGAATCGTGTTCTATCAGTATAATAAAAATTTAATTTATATTGTACCACAAATATATGTTGAATCATTTTTAGGTTTTGAATTTATTTTCTAAAACTAATTGTGTATGTTTTACTAAAAAAATTAAAATGTATTGAAAAATTAACAATATTTAGTAAATTAAAATTTTTAGGTGTTGTTGTACTTGAAAATTGTAAATTATTGGAAGTAGTCTGTGATAATGGTAAAGTTGTTGCCATTGACACGTCAATGGGATCAGTTGATTGTGATTATTACGTAAACTGTGGTGGTTTTTGGGCACGAAAAATTGGACAATGTAGCAATCCTTCAGTCAAAATACCTCTTCATCCAGTTGAACATTATTATCTCCGCACAAATCCCATACCAGATCTTGACTCTCTAACACCAGGTGTATATAAATAACTTAACATTTATGAATTAAAAAATAACTGACCTTATAGCAGTTTAGTTATTTATTAATTTGTATAGTTGTTCGAGATCAAGATGGCTCCATATATTTTAGAGAGTTAAATGGATGTATTCTAGCTGGTGGATTTGAACTCGAAGCTAAACCAGCATTTGAAAATGCAAAATGTCCAGGTAGTTAGAAATATTAGTTAAATACTTAAATATACCTATAGTTGATAGTTTTTTTTAACTAAAAAAACTAGAAATTAAATTAAACTATAATTTACAAAGAAAAATCTTTATTTTTAAATTGGAATACCTATTTAATGTGTATTACTGCATAATATATGGTAAATAATTATCMTAGACCTGTTAATAATTTATATTTTGTAGATAATTTCATAAAATATCTTTATATTCTTCTATTTCAGTAGTTTCAATTAGTACTCTTATAAATATATGTTTTTTGGTTTTTCATATTATTGTACACTTTCAGTTTGAATATTACAAAGTTATGAACATCATATTTTGGAAATTATCTATCTTACTCATAAGTTATGAGTCATAACCTATTTTTTTCTCATTTAAGTTTACAAAATTAAGGGTTTTAAAAAATGTTAAAGTAATATTTTATTTTAAGTTAAATTAAATTTGATAATGTGCATAAATCAGCACATATTATTATATATTCAGTTATAAATATACTTTTATGTGGTTACTGATTACAGAAAATTCAGCTGGAAGACAGTTACTGGCGGACTGGGATCATTTTCATGTGTTACTCGAACAACTATTACACAGAGTGCCATCATTAGCAAATGCTTCTCTTGACAGCTTATTAAATATTGCTGAAACATTTACCCCAGACTGTAAATGGATTGTTGGTCAAGCACCTGAAGTAAATATTAATAGTTTTAAACATTTTACTTAGCATTGTAAAAATACTTGGTGTATTTAAATAATTATATTAATAAATAAATTCCACTTATATTAGATTAATTTAGTTAATATAAMAGGGAAAAACTAATAGCAATAAATAGACATATTTTGACATGACTTATCACAAACCTCAAACAAACAAAATTACATAAATCGTTTTTGATTAAAATAATACCTAAAGCAAACAATAACAGTTTTGTGATTCGTCGATTGGTTTTCATCAATTTTCTCTAATAATTTATGATATTTTATTAGATTTCTCCAAAAATAATTAACTATTATACTCAAAACTTTGATATCCCATAACTTAAATATTATTACAAGGTTATTCATGATTTGGTACTTATTACATAAATAAATCAATGAATGTTATTGCGAGTCTTCTAAAATTATATTAATCTCGAATCAGTAATTACTATTATCAAACAGAATTTTACCTATATGGCAATACCGTTTATAATTTTATATAGATTGCCCTCATAGTGAGTAAATTATAATATAAACAATTGAAATCAGTTGTTCAATTCAAAGTGATGTTGAAAATATTTTTTATATAAGCATGAATTTAACACTGAAAATAATATTTAAATGTTGGTTTGATTAATATTTAACAATTTAAATTATAGATTGCAAACTATTATGTCGCCGCTGGTATGAAGACTGTTGGTATATCAGCCGCTGGTGGCGTAGGCCAAGGGGTTGCTGAAACCATCGTTAATGGATATTCACAATATGATTTGTATGAATTAGAAATGAGCCGTTTCTTAGGGTTACATAATAACAGAAGGTTCCTTAGAGACAGAGTAAGAGAAGTACCTGGTATGTTTTTATTCTTAGAGGCAAACATTTTAATCATTCCTAATAATAAGCTTTTTATTATGAATCTTGTTCAATCACAAAAACAATTAATTTGTACATAGACAATTTAATTTCTAGGCAGACATTATAGCCTCCAGTATCCAAACAATGAGTTTATAACCGGACGTAATTTAAGAATGTCTCCAATATATCCAAAGTTGAAAGAAGCTGGTGCTGTATTTGAACAAGTCATGGGATATGAGAGGCCCACTTGGTTTGAACCTGATGTGTCAAAAGGTATGTACATATTATAATTGAGCAGAGGTATTCAAATTTTTTCATGCTGCGACTCATTTGGGCATTCACTATACTTTAACAGCTCCCAAATTATTATGAAAAAGTTTAAACAACATACGGATACAATATGGGTGATAATAACAGTGACTTAAGTACTAGAAATAAAATTTTAAATAGTCCCGTGGTGTGTTTCATTTTCGTTTTCCATTAAAAATAAATTTTATAAATAATTATACAAGACCTAGGTATGATTTTGGTTTCCAGTGTTTTGACGTGACTCCCTTGGGAGCCACTACGCACAGTTTGAATACCTCTGCAATAGGGTGTAGATACATTATACTCTTTTGTTTTGGTTGGATGCTAGTATTTTTTATTTATATACTGATTAAGAGGACACCACACCCGCGTATGATGTCTCCGTCCTACAAGTACTTAATATAGCAAAAACTATTTCGCGCGGAGAAAGGACCGAAAAAGCTACAGTTATAACTAAGAAAAATAATTTCACCATTTAAAAAGAAGAATTTTGTCTGTGCAATATCATTTTTATTTTTTCAATATCAGAACTACAAAAAAAGTTATTCATGCATAAAAAACACAAAAATAATGTATTATGATACAATAAGAACTTTTTTTGTATAAGTGATATTGAAAAAATAAAAACGATATTGCACAGACAAAATTCTCTTTTTTATATGGTGAAAATTAAATTTTTTAGATAACTGTAGCTTTCTCGGTTCTTTCCCACGCTTAACAGTTTTTGATCAGATGTGGCATCTACATGTGACTCAAAAAATTAGTTTCTAAGTGATATAAAGGTAATAGTATTATTTTTACGATATATAGCTATGCCTATCCATGTAGGAGTTTTCGATGATTAAAATTATGAAGTCACCAGCTAGGTTGACTGTCTCCTTTTATATTGAGCTTAATGTAAATAAATATAGGGCGGTTGACATCATAATTTTAGTCACCCAAAAACTCTTATGTAATGACTTATCTATATATTATAAAATCAATAGTAATATCTATCCATTAATATATGCTTAATCTGTGTTCAACAAAATGTACTGATAATTCATTAATTGTTTGACATAATATTTATGTTATATCGTTCTATGTACTAAATTATTTTAATTTTTTTAGTACATTTACATAGCTACACGAATACGAGAAAATTTACTACAGCTGAAACAAAAACTTTTGGAAAACCTGACTGGTTTGACATTGTTGAGGCTGAATATGAAGCTTGTAGGGAAAATGTTAGTCTTTTAGATTATTCTTCTTTCACTAAATTGGATATACAAGTAAGTAAATACATACATTATTTTTATTAGAGTTGATTAAATATATTAATATAAATATTATCAATTATATCAAAAAAATTCTATTGAAAACACATGTTTAAATTTGACTAAGGAAATTCATAATTTGAGGCGTACTATGAGTTTCTTAATTTCCATATTATTTTCTTGTCATTATATTTTGTAACATACATAATTTTTAATTTTTACACATTTCATACACCATGTTCTTGCATAATGATAAATTAAATGCCTTCTTAACACTAATATTTTAAAATAAATTMCGCTAGAGCACTATAGAATATTAAAGCAGTACTCAATAATAGATTTAACTTAATATAAATTATAAAATTATGTAGGTATCTAATATTTTATGGTACATCGAGGTAACCATTAGTACTCTTAGTATAAAACCATACCTTAAAACTTTTTTCAATATTGTACCAATTTGAAATAAAATAAAATATTTAACCATCATACCATTAAACCATTTCATTTAAGAAGCAGTATTATAATTTATAATCATCTATTGGAAACTGCTTACATAAAACATATTTAAGTTCATTTAATTTTTTCACAAATAATTAACATGCATTGGAAATTGAATTATTTAAAACGTTGTCTTTAATTATTTATGTTAGCTTGTATCTCCCATTTAATATAATTAATAAAAACTATTTATTACAAAAATTTAAATTCACAAGATATATTATATTTTTTCAAAATTAAGTATCGATTACTTTTCTTGTAATTTGTAGTCTTAGGATTTTAAAAGTATATATTATAATATAGCTTGTTGGTATAGTTAAATCAGAGCAATAATTAATTGTTAGTACCTAGATATCATTAAAAAAAATTTTTGTTTCATTTGATTGTAAATACAATTTCAATAAGAAGTTTAAGCAAACAATAATTGAAGAAGTCCGTGCAAAAACAAAACAACTCCCTTTTTAGCTGTTTTCAATTGAGAAAAATGTGACGAGTACATCTGTGCAAAAACGAGATAAATCCCACCCATATAGGAAATATAATGTAACGGGAGACGTCTATTTTTTTCTGTTGAAAAAACAAACAACCCCAAGGTTATACTTAAATTATATTGAAAAATTTTAAAAAATAGAGTTGTCTCACTTGCCCTGCAACTTGATTAATGTTGTAAAAATTTTACAAATTGTCTAACATGAGTGGTTTATTTAGTTAGAATATTGTTTTCATAAACAAAATATTAATTGATCTTAACTAAACACAACACTAGGTACAATTTAATAAATATAACGATTATCCAAAAATCAATCGACAAAATATTGTTGTATAATATAAAGCTTATAAAATATATTTGTTTTCGTATCCACCAACATTGTCAACATGTCATAGACATTCAAGAATATTAATGATCATCATATTTTCTTTCTAACAATATCGAAATCCGAGTATGTATAATCGCTTATGGTGTGTTCGTTCTTCAATTCCACCTTATCGATTTGACTGGCCGGACTTCCGACGTCTCGCAACCAGGTAGTCATCTCGGCAACTTTATTTGGCGGTCCCTGTATAGTGCCAATCACTGTGCCTTTTGGCGTATTTTGACACCAACCCCGTAAGCCCAATTGTTTACCATGTTCCTGAGTGCATTTGCGAAAAAAAACTTTCTGCACATGTCCGAACACCTCGAAATCGACTGTTTTAAGACCAGTCGACATGCCGTTTAATGGGTTCAAAATATGAACTTAATCTATTGTAACCGAAAGAGTTTGAAGTTTGAAAGTCTTAGTATTATTTAGTCGGTTTCAGCCACGTTCTTCACGTTCTTGGATTTCTAGAACTTTACTGTCTTGTGTCTTGATGTAATACCGTATAGTGTCCACTGATACTGATATATAATGATAAATGATAATAGGAATAATTTCGAGTCCACGGCTCGATCGTCACTATCAATATTCAACCGCGAAGCTAAATAGTTCTGGAAGAAGGTAATCGAACCGTAACCATGGTAACTAAATATATGTATCCTAGGTGTCGTATCATACGGCTGGTTTCGGATTTAAATGTTTCCGCGGAAAAATGAATTATTAATTACTAATTGCTGTTTTTTCGTAAACTTCAATTTATAATATAGCGATTTCACTTTTTTCATTAAGTGCAAAATTGTATTCGATTTAATTTCACTGAAAACTATAGTCGTGTACACCTTCTGCACCACCGATTTTGTGATTGTTTATAGTGTTTATACTATTTTCTATTATGAACTATTTTTTCAATAGGACTTTAGGAGGTAAATAAACTTGGTGCACTTATAAAAATCCTCAAATAAAAAACTCTATTAGTCTCATTACAGTGTAATGTTAGTAATAATTAATTAATATTTGATCAGCTCATTAAATTTTTTAGTCCAAAGGTCGAGAAGTGGTTGATTTGTTACAATACCTTTGTTCAAATGATGTGGATGTACCAATTGGCAGTATTATTCACACTGGCATGCAAAATGTTCGCGGTGGTTATGAAAACGACTGTAGTCTTATTAGACTGTCAGAAAATCAGTAAGTAAAACTTTGTTTTATCTGTATTTGAATTAATAGTGACTTTCCATTGTATTAGTTACATGATGATTGCACCAACAATCCAACAGACGCGTTGCAAGATTTGGATCCAACGCCACTTGCCAAGCGATAATTCTGTGTCTTTGACCGACGTTACTTCCATGTTTACTGCCATTTGTCTCATGGGACCTTTTACACGACACCTACTATCTGAAATGACTGAAACCGATTTAAGTCCTAAGTCATTTCCATTTTTCACCTACAGAGAACTTGATGTAGGCCTAGCCAACGGCATTAGGGCTTTAAACCTCACTCATACCGGAGAACTAGGCTATGTTCTATACATACCAAATGAGGTATGATGTTATTATGGTTATTCAATCTTATCAATTATAGGTATGGTATTTAGTACAATGTAAGCATAACATATTGTCTTGTCTTTATCTTTCAGACTTTTTGTATGTATAAGTGTATAACCCCTTTATCCCTCCTTGAAATTTTCATAGACTCATAGTGCTCATTGTTTAGCCCAAACTGAGTAAACAAGTTATGTTCAAATTAAGTAATAACAGCTTAACTATTTCAAAATTTTCTAAAAAGGTGTAATCTAATGTCTTATGTAGTCATATTTCTTTTTTTTTATAGTCTAAGACCTTGAATACATGTTAATTGATAGTAACAGTTTTTTTTTTAAAATTATAAGTTTTGCACAAAAATCTATTCAAGGTAGTGCCTTGACTCTGACTAAATAAAAATTGTTAATTGTTATAGCTAGCAGGTTATGCTCATGGCTTACCTAATTTGTGAATTTTATCGGCTATAAAATGAGTTGTGCAAATATTAGTTTTGTTATATGATAAATAGAAATAACAAATTGTATGCTGACATCTTCTCAAAATATTACATAATAAGTAATGATACCTTAATCAATTATAGCTAATAATTCATAAAAGACATTAAATATAATTTTACAACATTTATTTTCATCTAACATAATCTTATATTACAAAATAATAATACCTTATTCAAATAAATTGATGAATAATTATTATTTATTAACACTTTCTACTAATTAGTGATAAAAACAAGTTTTATTCTATTTTAAAAGTATAATAAACAAATAAACATTATTTGAATGAATTCAGTCATGAATAAAGTCAGAATTAAAATTATTAATTAATGTTAATCTTTGTTAAGTACTATTGACTTAAAAATGTATTATTTTCATAATATATTTCTATAGAGTGCCTATTAGTGCCTATACCTATTTTAAAACCATACTCTTTTGGTTTTTTAATTATTCATTATATTAGGAAAAATGTACATTTCATACATTTTATTTTAATCTTATTGGGTAAATTTTTTAATTTTGCATAGATTATTTATAATGAATCTTTTTTTTGTAGTTTGCATTACATGTTTATAACTCATTAATTCAAGCTGGAAAAAAGTATAATTTGAAACATGCTGGCTGTTATGCAATGAAAGCTTTAAGAGTGGAAAAATTCTATGCATTTTGGGGCCAAGATTTGGATACATCGACCACACCATTAGAATGCGGACGATCGTGGAGAGTGAAGTTTGACGTGAGTCTGATGAATTATTAATGATTTTATTTATTAATTTACCATGTATTTCTGTATGTTCTAAATTTTGTTTGTATGATATACAGAAAGGAATAAATTTCATTGGACGAGATGCTCTACTGCGTCAACAAGAGGAGGGCATAAAACGTATATACGTTCAATTACTCTTGAACGATCATGATCCCGATACTGAATTGTGGTCTTGGGGTGGTGAGCCGATATTTAGGGACAAGAAATATGTTGGTGCTACTACAACAACTAGTTATGGGTTCACATTTAAAAAACAAGTAAATTTTATGAATAGTAATATATTGCTTATTGTTTTGTTGGCCATGTTTAATATAAAAACAACTAAATAAATTTATATTTACTTGTTAATAGGTATGTTTAGGATTTGTTCAAAACTTAGATAAAAATGGCAAAGCTCTACCATTGACAAATGAGTATGTTTTGTCAGGAGAATATGAAGTAGAAATAGCTGGTATACGATACCCAGCAAAAGTTAATATTAACAGTCCAAATTTGCCAACAAAATATCCAGACAAGGAACGTGAATCGTATCTCGCTACCAGAGATAAAATGGTGTCTGAACCATTGTTAAGAAAAAATTGATTAGTATATGCAACAAATTAATTTCATCCATCCAACGAGTTTTTTCTAAATATTAACACACATTTGAGTTTCCTATTTTTACTTATCTCACCAATTATTTAGATTTTATATTTTTATCAAAAAGAAGATAAAAAAAACAAAAGTATTACAGGTGTACTTGTGGTGTAAATTGATGTAAGTGGTATAAATTATTTGAACAACCCAATGAGTAGATACTCTTTGATTCCCAGTTCTTTTAATAAAGCTCGTGTTGGTAGTGTCACACATAGATGTGACTAGTAAAAAGTGTACAATACTTTAATTTATTATACATTTATATTGTAAATCTTATAACACAAATATTGTAATTTGTATCCAATGAGATTCTCCCAGGTTTTTTAAATTTATTTATCAATTATCAAGGTTCTGTACAATATTTATAAATATAACTGTAAATGCAAACTCTAGTCTTCATGTTATTCACTATCAACTTGTTTAGATTACTTATAGATGTTTACAAATTATTTTTAAATTTCAACAGTGAGTAATGAATATGAACTGTTATGTATCTTGAAAATTATATAAACTGTTCAATTAGTCAATGTGGACATAATGATAATTATGTATGTCAATAAACAGTATACATTATGTATAAACACAAATATTTTTTAATTATTTACATCACATTATAATGATATAACAATGCTCAAATGTCATTAAATGTAATTTTTGTTAAATGAAGTTATATTGAAATATTTTTTATTTTATTTTATTTTTTTTATTTAGAAATACACCTCAACTGCCAGGGTTATTGGCGTTTTAGAAATACATAGTATAATTTAATTTTAATTTACATAAGGATTATAAAGCATAATAAAGAAAAAACCCTTAACCCCCTCCCCCCCGTAACTACGCCACTGGTTGTTGTGTCCAGGTACCCATAGGAATCTGATGTCTTTTTTGGATAAGATTAGAATGTTCAATGTGCATATAGGGTTGTATTTTTTTGTTTTATCTAACTACATAAAATGGGTTTCAAAGTGCATGTCCATTATAGGTCTTAAGTTAGTAAATTAACAATAGAATATTTATTTTATTTATTAGACCTACATTGACACATTGTATAATATACAAAAAACTTCACATCTTGATTATTTACTGTTCAGTGTACTATTTAATACCTACTTCTTGCCAACATTTAAAAAAAATGTATTGCTAGTCTGATACTTTAATGATAATTATTATACTATTATTAGTTTCTAATCACTTTTAAATTATTAACACTAATAAGTTACATAAATATAATAAAAAATTGTATTTCTGTTTCAGTAATTAACGCAATGCAACAATTACTATAAATAGGCAATTTTATTGTTTAAAAAAATTTAAATAAGAAGTAAAATTCCACTAATCGAGTCGCAGTTAATATTAGACATTAGTGATCCTCTGCATCATAAATCACAATCTATTTGGAATTTTGAGAAGTTAAAAATAAAATACATTTTCCTATCACCTATTGACAGATGATGTTCTTAATTTTTGAATTGTCACGTGTCCTGTTATCCAAGGCTACCAAAATTTGCCACTTTCCTTTAATCTTATTTTTTTTTTTTAAATATACTTAGTTCCTTATCGTAGTCATAGTGTTTTTTTTTAATACGTATAAGATACAAAATATATTAATATAAATGTTAAAAAATCAAGTTTTGTCATGATTAATGAATAATGATATGTAAATGGAATTATTATACAAAAATTATTTTTTTTTTAAGGCAACATGATTCATTGGTAATATTTTCTATTGGAGGAAATTTTATTGAATGAAGAATAATTAAAGGCGGTAATGCCCATTGATTGATAGCAAGTGAAAACAGTTATTGGACACGTTTAAAACGTTCACTTGCAAAAATATTGTCCTAACGTTGTTTAATCGATCAATTATTATGATTTTTATTTTTTTATTGTTTGATATTATTATGATAATATTCAAGGAAATGCCTGGAAAAACTATTGGCGGATGCTGCCCTCGGGCCTAGGACAGAATTCATAGCAGTCGAGGGCGCGTAAATGACGGGCGGCCAGTGGCCACGGTTCGAATAACGAAATATTACGTGAAAAGCGCGGCAAAACACGTTTTGAAATTGCCGGTGATATTCCGCGGCGTGCACGTTGCCA